AAAAAAAAAAAAAAAGGTAAAGTACATATATATATATATATATAAATATAAATATAAATATATAAATATAAATAAAATATAAATATATACGAAAGATGATGTGTATTGTAAGATATTTAATACCGACTTGTCTTAAGCACACCACACGATGATCGATTGCGATGAAACGACGATAATAATTATTACGATGATTGTTGTATAACGAACGACGACGACGATGATGATGATGATGATAATGTTATTCTACATTATAATTCGCGTTGTAATATAGAGGCCCACCTGTTACCCACTAAATCGATGTGTCGATGTATCCCGGACGTGCTTCGTTCGTACACGCGTCGAGGGAAATCGGGAATTGCGTTTCCATTCGAACGAGGGAGGAACGTTGGACATCGGCCAGTGAGTCAGAACTTTCTGATTTTTCTATGAGAAACACCGAACGAGCCGTTATCTGGTCGATGTCCAACGACCTCTGTCATCCGAGTTAAACGAAATCGTTTACGATTCTCAGTATTAATCGTATCGAGAAATGTTGGGTTCCGTTTGTGAAGCAAGCTCGTTACTACGAGTGCAGCACGCCCGGAGCAACTAGCAATAATATAACATTCCAACTTAAATCGCATACGTACTGCGAATTCTAATAATGTGTGCCGCCGTACGAGAGAGAAAAAAAACACTGTCAAATACACGCTCATACACTGCTACATCTCGTCGTATTTATTTCCGTTATATAAAAACCTAATCCATTCCAAACTATAACCCTATGTTCTCAAATTTCATCGATTTATCGTGGTATACAAATTTTTTCGATACGAATTGACGAATTTACGATCGGGATCACGAATTCGGATTGTCGATATTATTCTAAAGGAAACGATAGATGATAAAGTCGTTATCACATATGATTTACGTCAACGAGTTATAACGCAAAGCGAATAAATTTATTACAAAATAATTCCAAAGATTTATCGTCCGGTAATTTGATACTGGTAATCACAAGCAATCCCTTCGATCTGAA